GAAAACATTAGGTGTGTCCCGCGCGCTCATATGACCTTATGCAGTTGCGAGCGCCGTAAAACACTTTACAAAAACAAAACAAAAAAAACCCAGAACATGGAACACGGCAGACGGAAGACGCAGCACGGAACACGTCAGTTGAAAGTGTGAACCCTCCTCGGTGGATGCCTCTCCTGATGTTGGGGAGGGGTATATTCCGGAGGAGTGATGCCTTGCTCCGTTAAGTAGAGAGATTCGTACGAGGGCGGTGGCTCGTTCATTTCGTGTAACGAATCGGAATCGCTGCCCTGACCGGACCCCGAAGCGCCCGCCCCGTTATTTTCGGTCCTCACCGCAGCAGCGCCCGACCTGCCGTTGTTGCTGTTGTTGTTGTTGTTGTTGCTGGCTGCGACGTCTGTCTCCGTTTCGGGGGACGGTACGCCAACGACGGTGAGCCGAGTCGACTCTTGATGGCTCTCCGACAAGTTCGGCTCGCTGCCTCCCCTCTTACTTCTGAGGCACGCGCAGCAGCGAGTTGCCCGAAAGACCACATAGGTGAGACCCACAGCGGCCAGGACTCCGCCCACACCGCCTGCGATGCGGATGATCTTCTCCTTGGTGAGTACTGTGGGGGCAGAGAATGTGTGTGTGAGTGAGTGAGTGAGTACTGTGGGGGCAGAGAGTGGGTGTGTGAGTGAGTGAGTGAGTACTGTGGGGGCAGAGAGTGGGTGTGTGAGTGAGTTAGTGATTGTGTGAGTGAGTGAGTGTGTGAGTGAGTACTGTGGGGGCAGAGAGTGGGTGTGTGATTGTGAGAGTGAGTACTGTTGGGGCAGAGAGTGTGTGTGAGTGAGTGAGGGATTGTGTGAGTGAGTGAGTGATTGTGTGTGAGTGAGTGTGTGTGTGTGTAAGTGAGTGTGTGCGTGTGAGTGAGTGATTGTGTGAGTGAGTGAGTGTGTGAGTGAGTACTGTGGGGGAGAGTGTGTGTGAGTGAGTGAGGGATTGTGTGAGTGAATGATTGTGTGTGTGAGTACTGTGGGGGCAGAGAGTGTGTGTGTGTGAGTGAGGGATTGTGTGAGTGAGTGAGTGATTGTGAGAGTGAGTGAGTACTGTGGGGGCAGAGAGTGTGTGTGTGTGTGTGTGTGAGAGTGAGTGAGTGATTGTGTGAGTGAGCGATTGTGGGAGTAAATGATTGTGTGAGTGAGTGATTGTGTGAGCGAGTGAGTACTGTGAGAGCAGAGAATGTGTGAATGAGTCAGTGAGTGATTGATTGTGGGAGTGAGTGAGTGTGTGAGTGAGTACTGTGGGGGAGAGAGTGTGTAGTGAGTGAGTGATTGTGTGAGTGAGTGATTGTGGGAGTAAATGATTGTGTGAGTGAGTGATTGTGTGAGCGAGTAAGTACTGTGAGAGCAGAGAATGTGTGAGTGAGTGAGTGATTGTGTGAGTGAATGATTGTGGGAGTAAATGATTGTGTGAACGAGTACTGCGGGGCAGAGAGTGTGTGTGAGTGAGTGAGTGATTGTGTGTGAGTGAGTGATTGTGTGAGTGAGGGATTGTGTGAGTGATAATTGTGTCAGTGAGGGATTGTGTGAATGATGATTGTGTCAGTGAGAGATTGTGTGAGTGATGATTGTGTCAGTGAGGGATTGTGCGAGTGATGATTGTGTCAGTGAGGGATTGTGTGAGTGATGATTGTGTCAGTGAGGGATTGTGTGAGTGATGATTGTGTCAGTGAGTGATTGTGGGAGTAAATGATTGTGTGAGTGAGGGATTGTGTGAGCGAGTACTGCGGGGCAGAGAGTGTGTGTGAGTGAGTGAGTGTGTGAGTGAGAGAGAGAAGAGATTGTATGAGTGAAGTGAAGAACATCGTCATTGACACAATAGCGGTCAATTACGTTAGAATTTTATTTTTCCGCATTTGCAACACAATTATCTCATACAAGTGCGGAAGGTAACAAGTGTTTCAAGAAAGTAACAAACACGAAAAAGAAGGAGGAGAGATCAGGACGATAGATGTTCGATAGAAAAAAGGAGCAAACCACATCAGACCACCTACCAACTACCCGCAAAAAAACAGACTCTACGTAAGCCGCAGGTCAAGATAGTGGGCAATAGACAAGTGACCCATTCCCGAACCCTTCGCACACACTTCCCTGCATTCAATAAATTCAAACTATTCAAATCAAACCTGCAACAATAACAGCAGAAATGTTTCGTCAAAGGTCTCTCCTATATCTGTCACCGTTGTTTTATGCACCCCGCATAATTTAGCAAAATTTGATCATTTTTTAAATAATTTCTGATTATTTTCCCTTTATCATTCTTTGTTAAAAGTAACAGAATCGCATAATTTCATATTTTTGGGCTCAGTTTGCATAATTTCAGAATTTTTCTTGCATAAAACTGAGGGTACAGCTTTTGACTAATGAGCTTCGTTGGCATTATTATTCGCAAATCCTGTTTTGAATATTCATATTTTTATAATGAACATGAGGAGCAACACTGGAGAAAGGAGAATACGTATATATATAAGTAAAATATGTGTGGCAGCGTGGTGAAATCATGCGCTCGTCAAAATAGTCAAAGGGAAGAAACTGGCGTTTTCCACAGGATTGTGATTTTTTATAGAATTTTCGTTTTTTGGCTCAACACCTTTCATGCCTATTAAAGAACACATTTCTGTGTGGATTTTACTGAAAAACGCTGATTTAAGGCACAAAAAATGTAAATTTTCAGTTTCCATAGACTCTCAAGCTAAGGAAATTTAACTCATCTTTGGCAGCCATGTTCTCACTAATTTTACCTCTGAAACGAGGGGACCCCCACCTCTTTCAGTCGCAAATATCTCGACTTCTATTCAACATAAAGGGATATTTTTTCCACCAAAAGCAAGGCAAGTGAACAGGCTTTAAGATGATACCAATAACTCCACATGCCCGAAAATCGACGAGCGCCTGATTCTACCGCGTCATGACATA